ACCTAAGACATGAAACTATAAGAATTCTAGAAGAAAATGTTGGGAAAAATCTTCCAGATATTGGCCTAGGAAAAGAATTTATGAGAAAGACCCCAAAGGCAATCACAGCAACAAAAAAATTAACAAATGAGATTCGATTAAATTAAAAAGCTTCTGCACAGCCAAGGAAATAACCAATACAGTGAATAGACAATCTACAGAATGGGAGGAAATATTTGCATGCTACACTTCCAATAAAGGGCTGATAACCAGAATCTATGAAGAACTCAAAGAAATCAGCAAGAAAAAAATCTTTCTCTCTTTATTTTCCCAATCCTATTGAACAGATCATCCTATTTACTTAACCAAATCTACTTTTCTTAAAGGAGGAGAGTTCTCTTTTTGTGAATGCCAGGATCCCATGGAGGACTTTGGTTAGGGTCCAGTTTTATCAGTCACACTTTGCAGCTACAACCCAAGGAATGGGAAAATTTGATGTCAGTAGACTGGGTTCAAGCTCTAGCTCTCTCATTTATTAGATCTCTATTCTTGGTTGAGTCACTTAAATTTTCTGACTCTCAACTTTACAAGGTCTTTGTAGGTGAATCATTATCCACCATCCCAATTCAGGGGTTTTCAGACTATTTATATTGTGTCCCCCAACCCAGCCCGGTATAAGTGCATAGGCTGTGCATAGGCTTCCCTTTGGGCTTACCGATGTTTCAGAGATATATGTGTGTGGGTCATGGGAGAGGTGGGAAAAGGTGCCTAGCAGGGATATAGCAAAGGCATTTGACACATCCTGGCCTCACTCCTACTAAGCCGTCAGTGAGTGAGTTGCTTGTGCTCTCTAAAATCTTAGGTGGCTCCTGCCAAAATAAGAGTTTACAGCTTGAGTTACTGGAGGTTTTCTCCAAAGAAGAGTAATGGATGATCGTACAGACCTCAAATCTCTCTGCTACATGTTCTGACATTTTACTGCTAATAGAGTTTGAGGAGAGGTGAATTGGGTGATTGGCCAAGAACCTGAATTTGCTTTCTTTTTTTATAAGTTAAAACCATTAATTGGAACTAAATCTTTCTTGCTTCTATGCTCCCATTACTGGTTCAAAGCTCTAGTTGAGCACTTATCAGTCTGCCAAAATTTAGCATAAATTGTATATAAACATATGAGGTCTGTTCAGAAAATATCCAGCCAATGGATATTGTTATATTAACAATGGCTGGATACTTTCTGGACAGACCTTGTATATCTACCTCCTTGTTCAGAGTCACTTTTTATAATACACCACTGTGTTCCCAACACCTAGCACCAAATCTAACCCAACTCAATGTCTACCAAACTCTTAAATCCATTTAAGTAAGGCTCAGGGTTGCTGGTGGATCTCTAAATGCTTTCCTATGATTTGCTTTAAAAATGGAAAAGGCAGACACTCATTTTCCCTAAAATCTTAGCTGGCTCTGCATGAATAACACTTTACACCTTGCACTGTGCTAGAGATGCTCTTGATCTTCGGTCTCCACTGGCTACAGTAAGGATCCCAGGTAGTTCTTTTATACAGGACCCACCCAGATCCCTCTCTCTTGAAAAAGCCTTGGGGACGAGATCTTGTTTTATTTGGGAAGTTTCAGGCCTAAACAACTTGAATTTTGCCTCGCTTGATTTGTCTGGTGCATCGCTAGCCCCACTGTGAGGTTCCCTTGTGATACTCTCTGGGTAAACAGAAAACACCAGTCAACTAGTGAAAGTTCAAGTTCTGCCTTCACCCCCTTTTTCTATCTTAGCCTTATTGTCTGTATAATGAAGAGCCTTATCTCTATCTTCCTTGGGATTGTTCTGAGGACCTAGCAAGGTAATGGTTGGGAAAGTGTCTTGTATCAAGGGGCCACAGTATGGGAGAAGTGATATTGAGTTTGAGTTGTGACGGAAATAATCCCAAGGAAGGAGCAAGATTCCTTGTGTTTTTGATCCAACCAAATAGTCAGTGACAGCTGGATCTGTTCAACGGGTGAGAAAAAGTTTTGTGGCCATTTCCTGAATGAGGTTAGAAGGGATATTGAAAACATTTGATTCCGTAATGTCTGCCTGTTAAGCTATTCAGTTCACACAAAATCTCTGAAAAATCTGGATGATAAATATTCTAGAAGTCCGTGGTGATAAAATGTTCTGACTGGTGCTCCATAGGAGGTGCGTAGCCCTTGGGCCCTAAGAGATGGCCCCACACATAGATCAAGGCAGCCTTATTGTCTGGGTAACAGGAATTTATTTCCCTGAAGTCCGGCATGCAAAGTCCATTCTTGGCTTGATGAGATTTAGCTTTATATAGACCAGAAAAAAATATCCCATGACTTACATCTTTGTCATTAAATATTAAATATACTTTCTCTATTTCTCATTGCATTATGGTGAGTTCTGCATAAGTCGATCTCCCCTGAAAGACTGGGAACTACTTTATTCAGAGAATGGTGTAGGGTTTATTTCAACATTTTCCATGTCTAGCACAATATCTGGCATATAGTAAATACTTCCTGAATGTTTATCGAATGACTGTCAAAATCTTTGCCAGCAATGTTTTGCTTTTAATTAGTCAGATTTTTTCTTTGCCAGTTAACAACTTCTCTTAGTTACTTTTAGCCATCTTATTATGTTCTTAGAGAACTTTAAGTTTGGTTTGATTTTTGCTATTGCCTTTGTGAATCCTGGGAGGAGGCCTGGCAGTTTTGTTATGGTCTGGAGTGCAGATACGTGTGCCCTCTGAGTCTCTGTATCTTCTTTTTAAGTCTTTTGTGATTAATGGGTCTACCCTTTAATCCTAGCAGAAAGTATGTCCTGGGGCCATGGTGCCACTAGGTCTGAGGTCCAGCCCAGTCACTGATTTGACTGCAAGTCCTTGTTCTCCTTACCTAGGTACTCACCTGTACCTTAAACCCAAATCTACAGGATAGTCCTTGATCAGCTTTGCTCTATGCCCTCTCTGACTGTCTTATTCAGATTCATCCTAAGTACTTAATGATTCCTGTGTATTCCCTCGAAATACCTTGATCACATTTCCCTTTTTCTCACAATTTCTTTTGGCTTGGAGTCTATGGGTCCACATAGTTCTTTAGACATCTCAGTGGAGCTAATTATGTACAATAAAGATGTCAAGAATTCACATAGCTGCCTCATAATCTGAACTCTAGTTTTCCTGAGTCCTGGGTTATTCCCATTGCCTAAAATTAAAGCTAAAATTCCTTAGTTTGGCATATAAGGCCTTCGCAATGTGACCCCACTGTACCCTTCTGGTGTAACCCTCTTCAACCCATCCCTCTTCCCCCAGGTCGTGGAGTCAGTGCAGTGCACTGAATTGTTTTTCATTCCCTGATCAGTATTCCTGTTTTCATACCTGTAGCTGTATTGTTCGTATATTGTTTCTTTTCTTTAGAATTCTCTTCTCCCAACTTGTCCATCAGACAATTTCTCATCAGTGTTTTTTTTTAATTTTTAAAAAACATTTAATTGTTATGGGTGCATAACAGTTATATATCTTTTTAGGGTACATGTGATGTTTTGATACAGACATATGATGTGAATTAATCAAATCATGGAAATGGGCGTATCCATCACCTGTTCTTATCAGTGTTTTGAAGCCAGACCAGATCATGGATCACCTCCTCTCTGAAGACTTCTCTGACATCTTGGACATCTCCAACAGAGTTTCAGCCTCTCTCTCTCCTTGCCCCAATCTCTCCCTCACTCTCCATCATTCTGGTTTCTCCCTCTCTCCCTCTCTCTTTCTCAGCTCTCATTTCTATATACCACTTATCATAAAAAATTGAAACCATACTTTTAAATGTTTGTCTTTGCCACCAGACTCTTAGCTTCCCAGAGTCAGGCAATAGGGCTTTTTCATCTTTATTTGCCCAGGATCCAGCACACAGCCTCATTCATCACTCTTGCCCATTATATTCTTTCTGAGTTAAATTAGCAGCACTTGAACTGACCCAGAAGCATCTTAGAGTATGCCCCCAAAAGACTGTCATGATGACTGACAAGATCTGGAATTTCCAAGATCTCTAATTAAACTGTCAATTGTCACCATGTTTTAACAAGGTGTTTTGCTAGAACCTGGGATGAATTAACACAGCCAGAAAAGGAAATCCATTTCTCCTGGTCTGTCCCATCCTGAGGCCACCCTCCCTGTCTACGCAGTGACTTATTCTTGATATGTCATGTATAAACAGATTCCAGCAGGGGTTCCTGTTTTAGAAGCCCTCATGCTCTCTAGTGGGAAGGGATTATAGAAAAAAAATTAAAGTGTACCCTGGATTTTGTTTTGTCAAATAGGCTTTTTACTGCCTTCGCTGAGTGGAAATTCACAAAGAAACCAATAGGTCAGCAAGAAATTCTCGGTCCACACTACTTCCTGACCTTTTCTTTGGGCATCTCTTATCATTGTTTGTCTATTTATCCACAAAAACAGGACCAACACTTCAACCAGGGGCTTTATTTAAAGCTTCAGACTTCCAATTGTATGAAGCTATTATTCTCTTTTTACCTCCTATTTAAGGGACCGATCTCTAGAATATGAGTTTACTCCTCATATTCCTTCCTAGAGTGGATGTTTAGAGCCTCAGGAGAAATCATTCCAAATTGTCAAGAAAGCTTCCCGCCAACAGCCCTGAACAGAGCATCTTTGACCTCTTTGTTCCTCAGGGTGTACACCACAGGGTTCAGTAGGGGAGTGATGACAGTGTAGGTCACAGAGATCAGCTGGTCCTGATCCCTGGTGATCTCTGACTTGGGCTTGAGGTAGGCAATGGAGGCACAGCCATAGTGGACAATGACCACGGTGAGGTGGGAGGCACAGGTGGCGAAAGCCTTCTTCCTGCCCTCAGCTGAAGCAATCTTGAGGATTGTAGAGATAATGAGAACATAAGAGATGAAAACCAGACCCATAGGTACAACAAGCACCAGCACACTGATAATCAAAGTCAGGATCTCATTGACCGTGGTGTCAACGCAGGAGAGCTTCATCATAGGTCGGATATCACAGAAGAAGTGGGCCACCTTTGTGGCACAGAAAGATAACTTGAATACAGAGGTTACCTGTGTTATTGCTACAATCAGGCCAATGCTGCAGGCCCCCAAAACCAGCTGGACACACACCCTCTTGTTCATAATAACTGTGTATCTCAGGGGGTTGCAGATAGCCACATAGCGGTCATATCCCATTGCTGTGAGCAGGAAGCAGTTAGTGATGCCAAAAGTAACAAAAAAGAACATCTGTGTGGCACAACCTGCTAGTGATACAGACTGGCTCATGCCTACAAGACTGGAGAGCATCCTTGGGAGAATGACCAGTGTATACACAGTCTCTGAAGTGGACAGCATGCTCAGGAAGAAGTACATGGGTGTGTGAAGATGGTGATCAATTCGGATGATGGTTACAATGATTCCATTGCCTGCTAGGGTTAAGATGTATAGTGCAAGGAACACCCCAAAAAGGGTAATCTGGTGCTCATGGAAGCTGGAGAAACCTTGCAAAATAAACTCAATGATGAGAGTGTAGTTCTCTCTCATCATTGAGTGGTCACCAAATCTGAAGTGCAGAATAATAAAAGTTATGTAATTTCAGCAGAGCAGCTTAGACATATTTCTGAAATTGATTGGCATTCAATAATTCTCAGCGATAAATCTAGAGATACACTTCCTAGTGGATTCAAGTTAATCCCTGGGCTTACTTATCTTTACTTAAAATATTTCTATTCTGTGGCCATCTGTTACAATTTCCTATGCATTCTAGAATCACATAGTCTCTTTCTCACTGTATAAACAATGCGTGTTCCTACTCCACTCCTGATCTTCCTCCCTGACATCTGGAATGGCCTTCCTCCTCTTCTCTTATTTAATTCTTCCCCATTCTTCAGAGACCAATGTAAGCTTTCAGCCCCCCATAAAATCATATTATACTCTGATGTTCTCATGTCTATTTGAATTATTTTCTAACCCCATCATTGCTGCCTCTCCTCACACAAATACTCATCAACTTTATAATAATTTTTATATCTTTTCGTATTTCCCTAGTTCAGGATTATGCATGAATTGGGTGCACGAAAACAATTTGTTTAGGGATGAACTGGAGACTTCTTTTCTTTTAAGAGTATGAATCATCCTCCTTGCACATCCTTTAGGAAATAGAAGCAATGCAGAAAGGCTCATCTTGTTTTCAAGAAGAAAAAGGCAAATCTTAAACAACCACCGACCTCTCCCCACTGCTGTCTGAATGATGGAAGTCTGCTGACAGTTCACAACGCCGATTCACATAGGTTATAAAATATGCTACATCTCTACCTTCCCTAACCTAGAAGGCAAATTTACAGCCAAAACAACTTTGCGAGTAGGCATACACCTACTCCGCAGAGGTAAACAATAGTATTAGGAAAGATGCAGCAAATTTAAGTGTCCCTCACCTAAAGCAAAAGCCAACCCTGAATATAAAAGAGTTACACTAAAGATATATCATTTTGTTGAAGGATGGGGATCAGTTCAATTTATGTAATATTTCACATTTTTGTCTCTTTAAACAGTAAACTTCTGTAGGGTATTTAAATTATATTCTAATTTGCTTATGCATATTCAAAAAGATACTTTTTGCATAAAGTAAATCGTATCAATGATGAAGGTTAGTAAGTATGAAGACTTTCTTAAAGTTTATAAAACTCTATTTAAAAGAAGTTGACGACCAGCTGTTAATCATTAACACTAAGCATGCTAAAAAGGCATAAAGATGCAATAGAGAATGCTTCCCAATAGAGAAAATCATTTGACACTAAAGTATGTGGATAAAGGCTTGTTTTCTGTGAGGTCTCTGAGCAAAAACTAGGCAGTAGTCCACCATGGGGTGGTATGGCACCTTTATGGTGAAATCAGAAATGCTTGGCAGAGCTTTGGATTGTTGTAATGACAGGCACAGGTGCTCTTGGCAACTAATGATGCTAGATGCCACGCATGTGATGGTCCTGCCCAAGGAAGAATTGTCTTATTTCAAATACCAATAAGGTTCATATTGAGAAACACTGGGCTAGAATGTCATCTGACTTGGCTGAAGCCTGTCTGTCTTGAGGTAGAAGAATGGCTATTATGACCTGGTTAGCATCCTCCACCCTTGGAAGCCTATAACTGTTCAAAGGAAATAGAGGGAAGAAAGAACAAACATTCTTATGAAGACCTCCCCAGTTGTGATAGGAGCTGTTATACTATAATAAATCAATATTTGCCCATGGATAATGAGCCCCATTCCATCCCCTTTTCTAAAGGGCACTTACATTACTCTGCCTACCACTGAGGCACAGCAGGAGAGCCGGGCTGGAGGAGGCCAAGAAGTAAAGATTGAAATCTGGGGCTCCCTTGGCCACAGTGTGTAGGTGGAGGGAAGAGCAAGGTGATCAAGAGGTTCTAGGACGGCTGAGACCCAGTAGGCGGGGGATGCACAGACTCCAGCAGGAATGTGGTCAGGCTTGAGAGCCATAGAAATTCTTGACAGCCCCTCTATTTGAAAAAGCCTTCGAAGCCAGAGAGGATGCTCTCCAAGGATCAGCCAGTTGGGCTTCTAGGAGTCACTCCCTGAAGACATTCTGAAAACCACCCTGGGCCTGGGAGGATGCAGACAGCAGGTACCTGGGGGCCTCGTTAAGTATGGGGCTCATTTACTCAATTGCAGGGTTAGTGCTTTGGGAGCCTGGGGTAAGTTTTTACTTCAAGTAGCAATAGCATTAGAGGAAGCTGTTTATTTAGTTGAGTTTTACTTGTTTGAATAAGCACATTGTATGTGTGTGTGTGTGTGTGTTTTGTTTGTTTATTTTTGTTTTTGTTTTTTTAAACAGATGTGCCTTGGAAATCTACAGTGACAAATCTAGGCAGCTCAAGCTTAGAGCCATACCATCTTGGATCCCAGGAAGTTTAGGCCCTTTTACTTACAGGCAGGAACTCTACTCAGTATAAGAATCTGGTTTTCTTTTTAAAATAAAAGTATTCAAATATGGCCATAATTCTGCAGAGGGCAGTTCCATCTTCACCCTGTGGCATTCAGGATTGGAAGCACCCAGTCTTAAGACCTGAAGATCCTCTCTTGGGGACTAGAAAACAGTCACAAACTTGTGAATACTCTGTTCTCTTGACCAAGAAATTTCCTTCCCTTCTCCATTTGGCAAACTTTTACTAGTCCAAGACCCAACTTTAAATTTACTTCCTATTGAAGACTTTCCTTGAGTTAGTTTATTGCTTCTTTAGCAATTTCTCAGTCTAGCATGCGGTGTTTATGTGTGGCCATTCATTCTTTAAGCACTTAGCGTATGTCAGTCCCTGTGCTAGTTGCTGGAAATACAGACATGGACGGGATGCTGCACCAACTTCTTAGGAGCTCACAGCTTTTATTCAGGTGACAGACAATAATATTAAACTGAAATGTAAGTGTACGTAAGACAGAGAAGAGACAGTCCTTGATCAGACTCAGGTTGGTTACAGAAAATTACAATATGTAGGTAGAGACCAGGTTACAGAAGATGTTGGGGGATTTGAATTTATCAATTTTAAGGACCTCACAAGTGATTCTCACTTATCTCTCCTGTTTCTACACTTCAAAGTTCCTTAGCAACTGGCCTCTTAAAGACTTGAACTTCGTCACCACCAGCCACTTATGTCCTCTTACCACCTATCTGGTGACTTTGCATCTCTGTTGGAAAAAGGCATACCCAGCACTGGGATTTGGTATACTGATCTGGCAGCAATGTGAGGATGAACTTGAGCTTGGTAAAAAGAAGCAGGAAAACCAGCTAGGATGTGATGGAACAGAGATGATTGGGATTGATATAGAGGGGTGGCAGTGGGCCCAGAGAGAAGGGACGGATGTGAGAGACATTTGAGGCAAATCAATAGGGCATATAACTGAATCAATGCATGGATCTAAGGAGAGGAAAGAACCAATTGTTACTACTCTCATAAGGTTCATTCGTGCCAACTTTCTGATTATTTACAAATGTATATAGCTTCCTACAGTAACAGATGAATCAAAGAAAAATGATCACTATATTGACTGTCCTTTGTTAGATACAATTGGTGGCCATGGGATCTCATCAGGAAAGCAGGAGAGTCAGGCAATAGAGCTCAATGCTTTATGACGTCATTGCTTGGGGACAAATTAGGAAGATTGTAGAAATGGGAAACTGGGTTGATGGTATAAAATGTGGTACCTGGTAAAAAGGAGATGTATTCAGCTTCAGTACTGACTAATATTTATTGAACATTTCACAAATTTTTGTCTCGCTTCTTAATCCTCCAAATGACATTATGAGTAGCAGTATCTCATTGCATAGATGAGAGATGTACGAGAAGCCCACTCTGCCACCAACAGTAAACATATTGGGATTTGGTGTTAGAAAGAAATGAAAACATGTGGGGTGACGGTAGAAACAAAGCTGGAAAAACAGCCAAAAGAGCCTTCTGTAAACTCCTTTAGTTTTGCAAACTGCTTTACTGGAGGGCCAGATTTCAGTAGTTCTTATTATAGTTCATTCACAACATTCAATTCAGTTTAGGATCCCAGGTCTAGACCTCCTATTAAGGCTTTGAAATTGTTAATGGGAGTCTTTTAGAACCCTGAATAGCTCACAGAAGATTTAACTGAGTTTCCTGAAGTTATGTCTGCTCCCACACGGTCTTCCACCCTATTCTTGTCGCCTAGAGCTGGGGTGTCCAACTTTTCTGTGTGTGAAAACTCCTTTTTAATTTCAGAATATTTCATGGATCTACAACTTGATAATAGTTGGATAACAATTGTATTATTTGTACATATGATAGAAAAAATAAATTTAAAAAAAGGCAACTGTGACTTAGAAATTGGTGCTTTCAAATGAATTATGCTACATTCAAAAATAGTTGCACATGCTTTTGTCAGTATTTATTCAGACTGCACATGGGAGTGATGCACACAGGAATCCTGGGCTCCTTGTAGCGACTGAGGCAACTAGGAGAGAAGAGGGGATGACGCCTGAGATGCATTTGTTAGGCCATTAGGTAGGGGGAAAGGGATTAAGTGTAGGGGAATGGGTGGCAATGGAGGAGAAATGCAGATAGGCGCTGAGTGGTTTATTAACCCATGTAGGTGTATCCAGGAAGTAATACTTGGAAGACTGACAGAATAGTTGCCTTTTACTGGAACATAGGATCAGAGACTATAGGAGAAGCCCATTTACAAAGTCAGGACCTCCTTAAAATGGGGAACCCACTCTACAAATGAGGTCGAGTTCTCTAGAAGCAGAGCCTTAAACAAGGTTCTGGGTACAGTGATTGATTAGGGAGTACTCCCAGAGGAAAGGGAATGAGAGAAGCAGGATGGGACAGGG